AATAAAACAGTGACTCTAGAAATAGAACCACACATATATGGTCCACTGAGTTTTGAAAGATTATTTAACATTAACATTTTATAGAATATAAATTCAATTCAAGAGCCAAGGAAAAGATAGTGTTTTCAGCAAATGGCACTAGAACACCTGGTACCTGTATGTAAAAAATTAACCTCAACCTTTTATTTCCATACATTAAAATAACTCAAAAGGATCTATGAACCTAAATATGAAAGACTAAAACAAAGGAACCCAGATATATTATGTAAATGTACAAATTCCCAATAATGAATGTCAGCATATTGTTCCCCCAAAATGTACCAATAAAATTAATGAAAAAATTTTTTACTACAAAGACATGATGAATGACATGAAAAAATTTTGTAGTAAAAATTTTTATTACAAAGACATGAGACAAATGAAAAAAATTCCTGGAGAATTAGATGTACTTATGTATGTTTTTATTATTGTAAATGTTATTAGTTAATAGATCTGTTTGTGGTGCACTGCTATTAACAAGCTTCATCCAAAAACACAAACCCAGAGTTAAAACAAAGGTTCCGTGAAAGCTCATTCAGAGATTCGGGCATTTAGGGAGGGATGGTGATGCTGATCAAAAGTGCTGATTCCAGGTTGGTTTTGCTCCTATTTTCTGCATGTCCAGAAGCAGCTTATTTAAACTAAGTTCTGTTGTTTACATGTGTGCAGTGGGATAAAACAACAACAACAACAACAACAACAAAACATGGTCCTCTTACTCCCAGGAAACATTACATGAGATCCCATTTATGAATGTACAGCATGGATAATCCAAGGTAAAAGTAAAAATTCGAGAGTTTAACAGGATCTTATGGGCCGAAGTTGTTCAAGAGGATCAGACTGGCTTTCTTTCATTCTTCTAATCTCTCAAAGGTGCTCTGGAAACCCAGACCACAGGCTGCCGATGTAGACAATATCCCTGACTACCCCCAAGAGAGCACAGTGTATATTTAAAGTTTTCCTTCTGCTACACTGGAAAAACTACATACAATGATGGCAATCGGGGTTAATATATATGACAACTACTAAAAGATATTAGTTTGTCAATAAAAGTTTGATGATTCCAAGGTGTTGGTGTGCACTGGTAGGCAGAGGGTTCCCCTTATGGAGATGGAGGAAGGCTCCAGTAGCTTAGTGAAAAATCAGTAATTCTGCTTTGGATGTGCTGAATTTGAGAGGCCTGTGAGGTGGCCCAGGGTGACCAAGTGCTCAAGTAAGTACATGAGTGTGGAGTTCAGGAGAAAGGTCAAAATGGAAGATATTAATTTAAGAGGGATCACCAGAGATGATATTTGAAACTGTGAAACTTGATTTGATTACCAAGGGAGAGGGAATAATTAGACAAAGACAATAGGAGAAGCCTGCAAAGAGTTTGAAAATATTTAACAAGTTTGCCCTACAGTGAATTATATCTACTTCTCCAAAAGTTTGTGTTAGGTAAGATCGTGGTTGTTGTGGCCAGACAGTTCAGAGCTCTGGTTTCAAATGAAGGTCTAACTGTGGAACTACAGGCAAATTACAAAAACTGTTTATTCTTTTTCTTTCTCTTGTCTAATTTCTGTGACTAATGTTTCCAACACTATGTTGAACTGGAGTGGTGATTGTGGACATCCTTTTCTTGTTCCTGATTTTAGTGTGAAGGAATTCAGTTTTTGACCATTTAGTGTGATATTGGCTATTGGTTTTTCATAGATGGCTTTTATCAGGTTGAGATAGAGACTGTCTATTCTAATTTTCTGTAGGTTTTTTTTTTATCATGAATGTGTGTTGGATTTTGTTGAATGCTTTTTCTGCATCTATTGAGACGATCATATGTTTTTTTGTCCTTGGCTCTATTAATATAGTGTATTACAAATTTATGTATGTTGAACCATCCTTGGATCCCTGGGATGAATCCCACTTGGTCAGGGTGTATGATCTTCTTGATGATCTTCTGCATTCTATTTGCCAGTATCTTA